CGCGCCGTGGCTCGGCCTCTCCCCACCGCTGGTCTCACCCCTGTGCTCACTTGCACCCCCTCTAGCTATTGTCACCTCCACCCGCAGTGCAGCTCGGGCCCCCTAACTCCTTGCTTAAACTAACCAGGGCCTCCTGATAAATAAGTGACCCGTGCAAATGGTTGGCCCAGGCCTTTGTCCTGGCCTCTGAGCCCAAGACCACCGAGGCCACCGGAGACCATCACGTAGCCGGAGCATCGACAGATCGGGGCCCGGGTTCTCACCGAAGGGGGGTGCAGTTCAGTGCAACCCAAGGACGGCCACTCTGGGAGGCTCGGAGCAGAGCAGGCCGAGCGGAGACGTCAGGGCCAGGCCGCCCGCTCTCCACCCCGGTCCTCTCGCTGGGAAGCCGCAGAGCTCGGGTCGATGTGGACGGCTGTGTTGGAGCTCGGGGAGCTTGGCCTGTGGGTGGGACGCGGAGGCTGCTCTGTGTGAAACCGCCTTCAACCCTCCAGGCAGAGTGGGATGTCTGACTTTTACCGACAGGATTTCAAACAGCAAGGCTTTTACAGATGTGGTTTCAGAGAACCAGCTTTCCCAGAGATAAGAAAGGGTTCAAAGGGGCGAGATGACACCGCAGGCGGCCAGAGCTGGTCGGCTGCTGTTTCCGGACGCCTGGCAGCAGCCACTCACTTCCTCAGTGCAATGCCATTTTACTCAGCTGCACGTCTCAGATTTGAGGTGCCAGATAAGACTGGATGCCTCTGCTCTGTGCTGACAAACAGAGCCAGATAGGAGGGAATGCACCCCACACTCCAGTTCCCCAATTTCCATTTCGCTTGAGAAGGTGGTGCACTTGCACCCACGGTCCAATGTGGAAAGCAGCTTGTTCATATGATGCCATCCCTGCTGGCGCTGGCACTACTGTAGAGTTTCTCTCCTTTCCTCTCTGCGTCCCACCTCCTGCCCTGGTCTCGCCATGGCGCCGAGAGGAGGAGGCGGGGGGTGCTGGGAGGGTGGGAAGGTCCGCGCAGCAAGGAGGCACCCACAGCAGGTCGGCTCACGCGGCAGCCCGTGGCCGCCAGTCCCAGGGGCCTCTAGCAGGTGCGGTCTCTCCTCGCTCTAGGGAATCATACTGCCCCAGATCCTAACCGGAGTTGCAGCCAACCTCGTCAATGCTCTCGTCAACTATCTGTTTCTCCACGAACTGCATCTTGGGGTGATGTGAGTCCGACCGATTCTTGGGACAGCGTGTGGCTTCTCCAAGGCTGGGGGGAGAGACCTTGACCTGGGTGTGTCCACGTGTGGTCTCCGCCTTAGACCCTCTGGAAAACAGGGTCAGGGGCGGGGGAGAGGAATGCTCTGGAAGGAGGGCCTGCCTCTGATATCCCAGCGCGGGATGGGATGGCGTCCCGGCTGAGGGAGGCCGGCGGGGCGGAGAGCGGCGCTCCCCTCACGGGCTGTTCTTCCCAGGGGCTCAGCACTGGCCAACTTGATTTCCCAGTTCTCCCTGGCTCTGTTCCTCTTTCTCTACATCATCTGGAAGAAACTGCATCGAGCTACCTGGGGAGGTAAAGGCTGTCTTTTGTTTTGCAACGTGGCCGTGGGTTTTGCCTCGGTGCGCTCCAGGCGGGTGCCCAGCTGTGTTAACTGTGCGTCCCCCCCAGGGTGGTCGCTGGAGTGCCTGCAGGACTGGGGCAGGAATGCTCTGGAAGGAGGGCCTGCCTCTGATATCCCAGCGCGGGATGGGATGGCGTCCCGGCTGAGGGAGGCCGGCGGGGCGGAGAGCGGCGCTCCCCTCACGGGCTGTTCTTCCCAGGGGCTCAGCACTGGCCAACTTGATTTCCCAGTTCTCCCTGGCTCTGTTCCTCTTTCTCTACATCATCTGGAAGAAACTGCATCGAGCTACCTGGGGAGGTAAAGGCTGTCTTTTGTTTTGCAACGTGGCCGTGGGTTTTGCCTCGGTGCGCTCCAGGCGGGTGCCCAGCTGTGTTAACTGTGCGTCCCCCCCAGGGTGGTCGCTGGAGTGCCTGCAGGACTGGGGCCCCTTCTTCCGCCTGGCCATCCCCAGCATGCTCATGCTGTGCATGGAGTGGTGGGCCTACGAGATCGGGAGCTTCCTGAGCGGTCAGTGCGGGAGGGGACGCGGGGGTGGGGGGGGCCTGGCCCGGAGGCGTGGCACCAGCGGTCTCTCTCCTCAGGCATCCTCGGCATGGTGGAGCTGGGGGCCCAGTCCATTGTGTATGAACTGGCCACTGTGGTCTTCATGGTGAGTGTCTGAGGCTGGCTGTGCGGAGGGGCTAGATGTCTCTTGGCAGGGGCCCCAGACAGGCGTACGTCTGTCCACCACATTCAGTCCTAAAGCTTATCCCAGAGCCTGAGAGGTCCTTTTGGTTTGGGTCTTCCTGTGGGCTCAC